GTAGAATGAACCAAGCTTGACCTACAACTAACTACCTATGCTCCACACAGGTTCTCAGGTGCAGGCTGCACCGGGACCGTCGTCTCCACCCAGGACAATGTTGTTGCAGGCGACTGTACCGGCCTCCCCAACGACGCGACGGCCAAGTCCATCAGTTATTCGGGCGTTCCCGGCGTGGCGGAATTTTTCCAGTCCGGCGGAGGACACGATCAGTGCAGCGGTGGACAGTTCCTCACCGTAGGGTCTGGATCCGGGTGCGCGAATGGTCCTTCTGGGTATGTTGTTTCTTGTTACACCGAGATGCCTGGAGATTTGAATGGACTTGATTATAGGTTCAACATTCAGAGCTACATCTATGCTTGAGGCGGGGAGTAATGTGCTGTTCAAATGTAAATAGTCTTCAATATCAATGGGCTATATGATTCTGTCCATATCCCACCGGCTCGCCGCAGAGACGCATGTGAAGGTTAGTACTCTGTTGAAGAAATCAACTGCGGCCCGCGAGCCATGACCACCTCGGCTCCGTTCGATTCGGACGACGGTATATACGCTCGCGGACCAACCATTTTTTTTTCGCTCGCCACACTGGAATTTTGGTCGACCGATATCAAATGGGAGTGTTTCGAGTTTGAGCTTGATCCAATCTTCGATGCCGGTGTGCCGTGTTGTCGTGCATCATTCGATCACGGATTCCATCATGTTGGTCAAGATCACGGATTGTGCCGAATCCCGACAATGCTCTTTCGGCGCCCGGCGCAACAATTCAGGGACGTGATTGGACATACCGGCGGAACACTGTACTAGTGCCCAGCCCCACCAAATCGACGCTAATGACTTACAATCATCTCCCCCAGAAAATAAATACCCAGGCCCGAGTGCCGACGTCCGGACCCCTGTCGGTGTTCTGGTGTTCCGATGTGAACCTATATCTTCGAAAGCTCCTACATCTGTGCATATTCCCAGTATAGCTATCGTGCCGAACCCGGAGTAAGCAGGACATCATTCCGACACCAGACGGGGAAGAGACGGGCAACTTGAGAGTTTTCCTTCGGCGGTCGGACAATAATTTCGCCCAAAATAAGCACAGTGGTTTACCATGTGGGGTAGTGCTCCGATCACGAGGGTTCAGCGAAAGAATGGATGTCTCACCGGAGAACTGGACACTGGAACGAGTCTCACCGTTTGCTCACCGTTTCCGATCAGTGACAGCGACAGGACGAACGTGATTGGCGCAGCAGCCCGCGGGTCTCGGCAACCACGCCCTTCGGGGCATCACGATCGTCATCCTCCCCGCCGACTGGATCGATCCGCGAACTTCGGCTGCGGGTGCGAGTGCTCGGGGCGTCATCGATTCGCAGCGCGGCTTGATGTTCCCTTCGTGCTTTCCACGAAAGCAGTCGGGCAACTTCGATTCACCGAGTATTGTACCCACTCCCCCGGCAGCCTCCGTTTCATCATCGTCCCAAAATTCCACGACAAAGGCCAGTGGAAAGCGGAAGACTTCAGCGAACCCTTCGACGCCGACGGACTATGACACCAAGCGTCGTCGTACGTCTGATCAAACAAAGATGGACTTTGTGGGACATTCGGTACGTCCCCCGTGTTCGCATAAATATGCTGTTACACTTTCTTACGCTGCTTGCAGACAGCCAGCATGCCGAACGTCCTTGATGCAAGTTCCGAGATCACGAGCAAGGTTCCGGTGCCGACTTCGAATGACCAGATGGATGTGGATGCAGTACGCACGGCCTGTGCTCTGATAATGCGCTGTTCCTGACACAATGAGCAGATGAGCATGAGCAGCGAGAGCAACGGAGTCACTGGTGATGTCCACTGCACGGACGACGTTGGACCGACGGCTGAAATGCAAGTCGACAAGATCCTGCCCGCCGGAACCCTGTCCGCTAAACAGAAGGGCAAAGGCAAAGAAAAGAAATCCGTCGCACAGAAAATGACACCAAAACCAAAATCAAAATCAAAAGTCAAAGGCAAGAGTCCTTTGGGTCCAGATTACGAGCCTCCTGTCGGGAAGAGAACCTCGTCCTCCACCTCTTCTTCGGGTAGAGGTCTACCACTGGCTTCGGATGTACAAACCGCTGCGGGGGCGCCTCGAATCATCGGCTCGCATCTTCTCATGTCGTTTGCCTTGGGTCCGAAGCGGGCTTTTGGAAAGAGGGACGAGATGCAGGGTGATGTTGAGGCGTTGACCATGTGGTTTAAAGCCGGGGAACGGGCGGGGTTGGAGGATTTTTTGTGGTACGTTGAGGAGGTGCTCAGGCGGGCTGTTGATGGATCGGGATTGGGATTGCGGATGGGTGGAGAGGACAGGGAGGAGGAAGGTGAATCAGAGTTGGGGCTTGTGCTCGAGCGCGTTTCGGACCTCCCCAGGGCGTTTGGGGAGGGGACGGTTGGGGAGGATGGGAATGCTGTGCGTGTGTTTTTGGCTGGGCTGGGTGGTGGATCCGAAATGGGTGGGAGGTTTGCGGGGTATATACGCAGGGTGCTAGAGAAGGTACGGGAGGGATTGTAATGCAGGATGACTATACGAACGATAGGTCCGTTTGCATTCGAGAAGATACTTACTGAAATCCGAGGGTCTCTCTATTCTAATCCGCTTGTCATTGTGAATGAACTGCAGGGCTGTACGAGTAATGCAACTCGCCACCCTCCTCCGATTCCATACCTGCCATCCCCGTCATCTTGTAACGCTGCACGACAGCACCAGCCAATAAAGCCAAGACCAACGCAGCTAGAATCAGCCCACGGAATCGATCGAGCGAGGTGACAATGCCGGCCGCAAACGAGGATGCGGCGGTGGTATGCGGGCGGCGGCGGTATCTTGGCTTGGGCGGGATGATGAGAGCGTCGGCGGGGAGGACGCAGAGCGCGGTGCATGCTGGGCAATTGGGCGATGCTGCGGGGCCTTTGATCCACTTTCGCAAAGTATCGGCCATGAGATTGAGGATTTGTCTGGATGTAAGGACGCACGTCTCGGATGTGTTCTCGACAGAAGATGGCATCGCAGCATTGCGCATGCACAGGATCGGTGGCAGGCTCATCGCTGTGTGATACCATCCAGTTATTCAGACTGCGAGAGGTGAAGAGGACGGACGACGCACCAAATTCTGCAATCGTTCTTATCCGCACGTCTCGCGCGCCTAGCAAGATTAAACTGTCCCTGCGCGTCGTAAGCACCAGATAGTTCTTTCTCTGCAGCTTGGTCGTCGGCACGCCAATCGCGTTCTCGAGCGGGAGCGGCAGGCGTAAGCTCTGCGTGCGGCGTCATCGCGCCGAGGTTGAGCGGTTCCGCGGCATTTGCTGGTTGGGAATGTCAGAGGCGCCGGCGATTCTCCGGGGAGGATTCTCACTTTGAGGCTGTTCTGTGGTGGAGGGAGTGGACATGATGGTGGTAGGGAGTGGTATTGCGGTCGCCGGTCGGGCCTTGAAGTGGTGGGCGGCGGTTTGGAAAATGACGTGCGGCCATCAATGACATCACAGGAACCGTGATCTCTGCGGATCTATCCGAACGGGTGATCAAATCACAAATCAGAAACCGCTACTCGTGACCCCCGCAAAAAAGGCAACGCAATGGCCCCAACGGTGACCCTGACCGTTGCTTCAAGTTTTGGCTACAGTGACGTACAGTCTGAATGTGGAGGACTTGCGAACGACGTAAAAATCTGGGGTTGATCTGTCATGTGTTCACGGCAGCGCCCCGAGTTGACGGAAGCAGGCCATATCTCACCCTGAGTCTTGGATATGGGCAAACTCCTTGATATCGATTCCGGCTGTCTAGTGGGCGATCGTCGCTCAAGTCTATATCCCAGCTATGCTAGACGTATGTAGGCGTATCCGAGAAGTTGAATCAGCGGATGATCCGCAATCATTCTGGTTCGTGGACTGCATCATGGAGAGTGGGTGGCCGATTATCAGATTGCCATTCCGCGCGTGGTGCCATCAGGGATCCATAGCAAAAATCCCTCAATCAGCGCGCGCCGTCGGGGATCCCGTCGCCGTTGGACGTTGGATTTCGGTGGTTCAATATTGGTTCAATATGATTTGGGATGACGACGGATTACGGGAACAGCCTTGATAACGGGCGGGTATGGGCGCTCTGGATTGGCCCGCCCTCCTTTCATGACACACTGTGCCGGTGAAATTTCAATACCGCCCCGCAGTCCAGGGTAAATCTGCCCGTTGTGAGTCAGTGATGGACGTGGCATCAGCATTAGTATCCAACTCTCAGGCTAGGACTTGTCTATAAAGGGCCGATAGAATACAAGCAACTCATCAGCCTCTCCACCTTCTTTCCCTCTTCCCTCCCGCCCTCGACTCACTCACTCTCACACTACAAATAATGGGATTCTTCAGCCACGACTCCGAGCAAGCCGACGCCTACACCCAGGCGAGTCCTCCCTCTCACCCCATAGACATCAACGACGCCACGATCGGCTAACACTTCTCTTCCAGCTCCAAGAGAACCCCCACCACAAAGCTGAGATCTCACACGAGCTGCTCTCAGGCGCCGCCGCCTTCTTCGCCGCCCGTGAGCTCGAAAAGCACCAAGCCGCCAGCGGCAAGCCTGTCTCGCACGCCGAGACCAAGGCGCTCCTGTGCGTTGTCGTCCCTGGACTCTTTCTTGTCTCTATGAATGCTGATTGGATGTCGACAGGGCGGGCTTTGCAGGTGCTTTCATCGACCGGGAGGTAGAGACACGCGGGCTTGACTTTATTGACAAGCAGAAGGCGAAGAAGGCTGGTGAGTGCTCTCCTGACTTGACAGAGATATTTCCCGTCTGATCTCGAGCTTAGCGCACGATACTGCCGCGGAGGAAGTCATCGTGGAGCAATACTGATTGAATAAACTGGAATTGTATGCTAGCTATCATGAATGGACGTTAAAGTTATAACTAGAGGTGCTTCGGGTCTTTCGTGCTTCCGGTGGACAGCCCAACATGCTTTGGAGTAAGGGTCAAAAAAAGGTAGTGAAATCAAAGATAATTCCCGCTAGCCGATTTGAACGACTGACCTCGTCATAACCCGCGAAGTGAGCGTCATACTAGTGACGCGCTCTACCAACTGAGCTAAGAGGGATTAGGGGTCAGCGATTCCTCGGGTTCTCATCGAGCGGATCCTTCCCTGGCCTTTGGGACCCACTCACAGGCTAGTTGGATTCTCGTTGGCGGTCGCCGATGGAATTCGGGTCAGTTTGTGACTGGCATTCGCGAGTATGGCTTCAATTTTACCAATGCCAATACCCGCACGACGCTGATCGGTTGTGCCAAACCACCCTCGTCCCAGAAGGATCCAGTCCCGAGGCAGCCACCGATCCCTCTTCCTGCTGACCTGATTTGAATTTAGCTTAATAGTTGAAACTCATGGCACCGAATCAAATCTGAACACGGGTCCAATATGACCGCATCGCTTGTTATTTAAATTTGACTGTGGCAGTGGATGCGCCACCCCGCCGAGCCGAGTGTTTCAGGCATTCATCTCGAAGGTCATGATGATGTCTGTTGTGTATATCAGATTTTCTTGTGTATTTTGGAAATCTGTGTATATTAGTTACTATTCTTGAAATCCATTTTTGTGACTCGGACTCCGCCCGATCATAAGTACAGACACACTGCTCGATTCAACTACCTTGTCATCTGTCAAATGGCTTGGACTCCGCCATCAAGATCACTTGATATCATCATTTGGACTCGGTTCATCCGTCGAACCACGGCCACTGTAGTTATTACATTAGTATAGAACCAGCTGTACGCCCAGAGTTCAGAATGCTATTGGAGTCTCCCGGAACATTCTAGAACATCTGGCTTTTCTTTCGGTCTCACTGTCTTTACACGAATGTTCTAGCACATTCCATGAGTCCAGGAATCTTCCAGTACACTACAGGAATATTCCCATCAACTCTGGAATGTTCTAGCAAGATCTGTAGTAGGTACTATATAATGAGAGCCATCTCTCATGTGACGAACAACACACTTACTTTCATACCACTACGTAGAACGTCTACTCGGAGACTACTCCCACTTTCCTCGCTAGAAGCGGCTTAGCTGTATAGCCAAGAGCCAATTCGACCTGCATCCTAGCTGCGTGCCTAAAGGAACAGTGCCCTGGGTCTGAAGCTTCCGCGCTTCGAGGTCAGGGTCAGGATAAGTGATCGCAGACATCTCGTCTTTGTGTGATTGAAGTTGAGTCACTCGCATTGAGGGTTTCCTGAACCTAAATTCTGAGATTTCAAGTCTACAACGACTTGAACGACCGACTATAATTCCGCTTTCGTCTCATAACTCGCTCCGTCGTCTCTACGACTTACGCCAACTCCCCAAGCTACACATTTAATTATATTCGACATCAGCTTACGACAGCTGACATACGCCCGCAGAAAGCAGAATCATAACAATGTCGCTGACAAAATCCCAGAACATTCAACTCGTGGAACTGTTGATCGACAACGCCCAGGAGGGGTAATGAACCGCACCGCTCGCGGTTTAGAGGGGGCGAGCGCTGAGTTGCTTCACATTTGATCAGTGGATCCTGTCTTCTCTCTTCTCCCTGGTCCGTTCCTCCAATGAATGTGGGCAGGAATCGTCGATGCCGTGCAAGTACAGCGAGGTGATCTTCGATATTCCCCTGTGATTTCTATAGCGACCAAATGAACAGGAATGATGTACATCCTCATCAGCAACCACCGCCATTCTGCCCGACTATTTATACTCTCTGCCAGTCCTTTCACTTCTTCATTCTCTTCCAACTCCTTTCTTCTTCTTCGTGTTCTTTGAGCAGAGTGAGTATCGCGGTCGGGAGAAGGGAATCTTCACTGAACACTATCAAAGGCTCTCTTTTTCTTCTTTGCAACGATGGCCTTTACGTGTTTGTCCTACGCAATTGCTCTACTCGCCCCGGCCCTATTGGTGCAGTCGGCCAAGATCCTGGTAGACGTGGGGCCAGATAATCAGGTATGGCCGCTCGCCATCGCCCGAAAGATGGACTGAGAGCGTTCAATACAGCTAATCTTCTCGCCCTCCAATGTAACGGCACTCGCGGGGGACGAAATTACATTTCAGTTCCAGAGCAAGAACCACGTTCGTCAACCACCCTCCCTCCATCCGGACAATTGGCATTGATTGCAAACATCACAGTCCGTGACCCAATCTAGCTTCGCAGACCCCTGTACTCCATTACCCGGAGGAGTCGACTCGGGCTTCCAACCCGTTGCTCCCAATGCAACTGCTGTACCCGAGTTCAGTCTCACGCTCAACAACGCATCGACGCCACTGTTCTTTTTCTCCGCTCAGGACGCGTAGATCCTTCCTCTGACTTGTCTAAACTAGTTTCAACTGATTGTGATTCTAGGATCGAGAGTGAATGCCAACAAGGAATGGTCTTTACCGTGAACGCAAACCCCGACTCCGACAAGTCGTTCGCTGCCTTCCAAGCGAATGCCGAGGCGTCCGGATCGTCGGGCTCTGAATCTACCGCGCCGCCCGCCGCGTCAAGCTCAAGTGGCGCCGAGATCCTCGTTACAGTTGGAGCGAACAATCAAGTACGGCGGTTTGTAACTCAAACAAATGAGACCGGTTATTGATATTCCGGCTTGTACACAGCTCGCCTTCGTGCCTCCCAATATAACCGCCCAAGCGGGTGATACGATAACGTTCCAGTTCGAGAGCAAGAACCATGCAAGTCCACATCTTTGGTTGAATTCCAGATCTCATTTCAGGACAGTCAGTCACACAATCGAGCTTTGCATCTCCATGCACTCCCCTCGCTGGCGGCGTCGACTCGGGTTTCCAACCAGTCGCACCCAACGCTAGTGCATTCACGCAATTCAGCCTGACGCTCAACAATGCGTCTACACCGTTGTTCTTTTTCTCTGCTCAGGATGCGTACGACTCCCTTCTTGACTCGTCGATAATAATTCGCTCAGGGTCATGATCATTTAGCGTTGAAAGCGAATGTCAACAAGGAATGGTTTTTACTATCAACGCGGACCCCAATTCCGACAAGTCGTTCGCTGCGTTCCAAGCCAATGCCGAGGCTTCCGGTTCTCCTCAGTCGAGTTCGAATGCCGGGACGGCCACCAGTGGAGCGCAGGATATCTTTATCCAGGTTGGACCGGGGAATCAGGTGCGTGGGACCTGCCGAACTTTCGATCCTTCCGCTGAGCGAAACCAGCTCGTCTTCAACCCCTCGAACATCACAGCTCAAGTCGGGGACAACGTCGCCTTTCAATTCCTAAGCGGGAACCATGTAAGTTTCCATTCTAGAATGACAGAATTCATCCGGCTGACCCAACCGTAGTCCATCACGCAATCAAGTTTCGCCGACCCATGCACTCCGCTCGCCAGCGGCGCAGTTGATTCTGGTTTCCAACCCGTCGCAGCCAACGCTACCCAGATTCCTCAGTTCAGTTTCTCCGTCACGAACGCATCGACGCCGCTCTTCTTTTTCTCCAAGCAGACTGCGTGAGTCCTCCTCTCCTTGAAAAAATGTTGATGACGATGTGCAGTCCTGTGAATGAATGTCAACAAGGAATGGTTTTCAGCATCAATGCTAATCCCATCTCCGACAAGTCTTTCGCTGCGTTCCAGGCTAATGCCGAAGCGAGCGCGCCGGCGCCGGCGGCTGTTGCAAAGGGAAAGAAGGCCAAGGCCCAGAAGAAAAAAACAGCGCGGGCGCATGCGAGGGATTTTTCGGGATAATGGTTTATCTCGGGGCGAGGATGCACTGTAGAATATGCAAGTGCAATAATGAATCATGGCCGGCCGTCTATGCCGAGAATGTCCGGATCAATCCCGGCATTGCTTCTCAACCAAGAATCACCCAGATTCGACCTTCAAATCTAGTGATATTTCCAAAATACAAAAACATGAATGACACCGTGATTGAGTGAGTAAGAGACGTAGGTAGCCAGATGTATAAATACTCCAAGTACTCAAGTGAAGCCGGCGATGATACAGCCTGTGGACTCAATCAGTAAGTGTGTATTCCTTGTGGGGCATTACTCACCGGTGCCGTCGTCATCACAGTCACCCTGAGTGAGCGGGTTCTGCACACTAATCCAAAGGTCAGCTAACTCTCCTCACGAGGAGCAAAGAAACGTACATCTGGGGAAGAGTCGCCGCCGCGCCGGGTGTAGTGGGGAGGTTTGGGAACGCCGCAGTCGCACACGCCTGCTCGACATCCGCGTGGGTCACGCCAGGTGGGAAGAACGACTGGGCCTGCGCCGCCGGGAGAGGGATGACCGTCGGGATGACATCACTGCAGTCGATGAGCCCCGTCTGTCCCAAGTTCTGCATCTTGGCAAAGGCGGCTTGGAAGCTGCACCATAGAGTCGTCAGTCGTGTTCAGTGTTTTTAGTATAGTCTCACCTCTGCGCCATGTGGGCCTGGTTGTTGACGTTGGCTTGCCAGAGGCAGTTGGTAGCCGTGTCGCGCGCGAGGAGGTGGTCGGATTGGAGACGGAGCTCGCCAGCGATGCCGGACATGACTTCACCCTGGTTGCCACTTGACCCCGGGAATGAGGTCCCGCGGAGTTGAGTCTCGACGAAGAATTGGGTGTCGAAGAGGGAGGGAGTCGAGTCGAAGGGGAGCCCGGACTTGGTTGGGTCAACGTCGTCGGCGCCAGCAATGGAGTGCCTTTGGCGATGTCAGCTATTAGGCCAAGTAGGGGAGAAGATGTCGTACGAGGCAAGGAGAGCGACGGTCTCCGCTGCGGAGAGACCGGCATCGGCCATGCGGGCAAGGATCACGTCGACGTTCTGGAAAGCTGTTCCTCATTCAGTCCGTGTAGACAACGAGATATAAAAGCACTCACGCTCGGGGACAGTTCCATCCGGTGCGCCAAAAGTAGCATCCTTGCGACCAAACATGAACGGCGGTTGAAGAATACCTAGAGTGGCCGTCAGAAGTTATCCCGTTAGTGTATAAGAGACGTACCAGGGCACTTGGTCAAGCCGACAGCAGCAGCGAATTGAATGCTACAACGGTGTTAATGATGATAAACTGGCTGACTGGGACTGGACATACAAGTCGGCAACAGAGATGTTATCTGCGGAAATTCAGTGGGACATTCTTCCTCTATGT